TATATATATATATATATATATATATATATATATATATATATATATATATATATATATATATATATATATATATATAAATATACATATATATATATATCTATATAAGGCTGAACGATATCTCGTATAGATTTTCAGAAATTTCGTATACTTTCAGCAATATTTCATGAAAACAACCCCTGTGGATATTTCTTACCCCCCCTCACAAAGTGGCGGCAGTGCGCCAGCTACCTGTTCCTCACACACATTTATAGTGAAGGTGTTCCGTATAGCTAGCCTCAGGCAATCGTACAGTGTATGTCACACACGTATCCCACACTTGTAGTCAGTTCACGCCTAGTACTATACCTACCATTGTCTCCCGACAGCAGCGCAAACTTGATGTGGTTGAGTGTGGTGTAGATAAACACGCCGTTCTCGTCCCACGCGCCACTCTTGACGCGGATCGTCTCGTGGAACGTGCACAGCTGCTTCAACTTGCGATTGCATATGGTGATGGCGTGTTTGGAGAGCATCGCGACAAACTGTTGGTCGGGCGACCAGACCACGTACTTGACGCCAATGATGGTGGCTTCGGCCATGACCTGTGCTCATACAGGTGTTGAAGGTGTATGAGTGTGTGTTCTGCTATACCCATGCCCTTTATATATACAGGTATCGGGAGTATATGAGTGTGTGCTCTGGTAAATACATATTTCTGTGTTCGGGTAGGTTAGTATGCGTCTGGGCTGGTAAGTTTTGATCGTGCTACGTGATTGGCGCACGTAGCCTCGGCCATTGGCTGTGCACAGTACCAAGGTGTGCATAAATACACAACCACAACAACAACACGCGAACATAAGTAATATAAATAAGCATAACATTCCCCCCACACCTTTTCCTGCTGCAAATCGAACAAGGAGATTGGTATCCGCACTTTTAGCACTCCCAAATACGTAGACAAAACAACCAGACTATCCTTAAACCCTGAAACCCTAACGTTGAACCCTTACCATACAGTCACCCACAATACCTTCTCTTACTACCACTTGGACAGCGCGATAGTATACTTAATTTCAATGAATTTCAACTCGATATAAACTTCCCCGATAAGCCTCTAACTCTCCAAACCCTACAACACAATACAGCCGCCCCCCATCCCCAACTACCTTCTTCTGCTGCAAGTCAAACAGCGACATGGTATCCTCGCTCCTCAGCAACAGCTGGCCCGTGCCGGCGTTAAAGATCATATCCGTTGCTGCGTGTGGGGGGGTGATCTTCTTGGTGATCTCGTTCTTGAGATCTTTGACCAGGATCACATTGGACTTGTCCAACACAGCGAACCGGTTACGCGCCACCCACACGGCCGCCAGACCCAGTCCACGGCGCACATCTCCGCCCGAACCCTCGGCGTTGCCATCCTGTGAGTGGATATGTGGGGGGTTCTGTTTGAGGTGCTTTCGTGGATATATGCATGCCTGATTAGTGAGTGGTAGGTGTGCTATACTTGTGTGCGAGTGTTGTATAGGGATGCGTGAGAGGGGCATGTGAGTGTTGTGTGGGGATATACATTGGTTTTTGTGTTAGTAGTTTGTAAGTTTGTTGCGGAAGGGTATGTTTTAGAGTTGTTCGGGAGAGATAGATGTGCGAGGTTTTGACCTTAACAAATGTGTGAGGATGGTGCGGGGATGTTTGTTGTGTTGTGTGGGTGGTAAGTACTCAAGTGGTGTATGGGTATTGTGCAAGAATGTGTGTGTCAATTGTGGGTGGGTGAGTTCGAATGTAACGATAATCTGTATCACCAGTTGTGCGGGAATAATGTACGTTCTATGTGTAGACAGATAATAGTAGTACTACTGAAGTACAAACGAGTTCATGTGAGTGTTGATGCGGCAGCAGAAGGTGTCCCTAGATAGCAGTGCCGTGCGGTCTATATATATATATATATATATGTGTGTGTGTGTGTGCGTGTGTGTACGTGTGTGTG